AAGAGGAAAAAGAGAAAGAGGAAAAAGAGAAATAAGGAAAAGAGAAAGAAAAATAAGTTTTTTGTTGAGAAACGGAAAACTATGAAACATATGAAAAAGTGAAAGAAGGAAAAGAGAAGGAAGATAGAAGAAAAATAATAAAGGAGAAAGAAGGAAAAGAGAAAGAAGGAAAAGATAAAGAAGAAAGAAGAAAAAGATGTAAAAGAGAAAGAAGTAAAAGAGAAAGAAGGAAAAGAGAAAGAAGGAAAAAAGAAAGAAGGAAAAGAGAAAATAGGAAAAGAAAAAGAAGGAAAAGAGAAAGTAGGAAAAGAGAAAGAAGGAAAAGAGAAAGAAGGTAAAGAGAAGAGAAAGAAGGAAAAGAGAAAGAAGGAAAAGAGAAAGAAGGTAAAGAGAAGAGAAAGAAGGAAAAGAGTAAAAGGAAAAGAGAAGTAATTTTAAAAACTTAAAAACAAAAGGAAAAGAGAAGTAAGGAAAAGAGAAAGAAAGATGAGTAATATCAACTGATTCTTTCTCTTATTTGTGGAGTTTAGTATAAAAGTGCTGATATATCAGTTTACTAAGTAAACTTATTATCAAGTCTATAGAAGGAAACTATAAGGCAAAGAGTGACCAACAAATGTAATATATACAATATAAACAATATATAATATATATCATTTTACATGTGACGTTTATCAAAAATAAAAAAAAAAATATTGCCATAAACGATTCCTCTGAAACTGGTAATTTCCTAAAACTTTAAACAAATCTATCTTAGATCATTCATTGTAAAATTATAACCCCCCTTTGCCCCCCCCCCCTTATTTTGCTCTTTCGCTCTCATATGTAAGAAAAAATAATTCAAGAAATGTCTTGTTTAATTTTTATGGCAGGGTACATGTCGGTTTATATTCCGATTGGTGTTTCAAAAAATTTTAAATTAGCCAATAACTTGTTTTTATTGTAAACTCCGTTTTTTAAGGCTGTCATAAAAGAAATAACTTTACTCTAAAACCTTTTTATTGGGGAGGGGAGGGGGGGGGGGGCGGGGGTATTCCTTGGGACTTTACATATATTCAGACCCCCCCTCACCCCAGGTTTTTAGAATTATTCTGTAGAAATCCTACATATACAACTCTTGAATCTACTTTGAATTCTTGGGGAAGACTAAAATAAGAGTTTTTAAAATTATTATCGATAACAAGTTTTCTCTGGTTCCTTGGTTCAAACAAATTTCAAAGCTAACCAGATAAAAGGAAAATGTTGTCATCCTATCTCTCTGATCTTTTATAAAAACATTACAGTTCAAACCTTGAAACAGTTTAAAGCCTATATTTGCTCTAAAAACTGTTTAAAAATTATATTTATACATTTCAATTTAATTAATAAAACATGAGGTTTCTTAAACAAGGATCTACCAAATTGTTAATTATCAGGCTCAGGTGGAAATTCTTCTTTCTTAATCATAAATCAGTCTTCTTTGGATGGATTATACATTTCAATGAATGTATAGGCACAGCATTAACTCAGTCATCCAACCAAACCAAACCATCCCACCCAACCAAGCTTTTCAACCTAGCCAAACCGTTCCACCCAACCAAGCTTTTCAACCTAGCCAAACCGTTCCACCCAACCAAGCTTTTCAACCTAGCCAAACCGTTCCACCCAACCAAGCTTTTCAACCTAGCCAAACCGTTCCACCCAACCAAGCTTTTCAACCTAGCCAAACCGTTCCACCCAACCAAGCTTTCAATCTAACCAAACAAACAGTCTTTATCAGCCAAGTCATACAACATAAACAAACCGTCCAACTCAACCCAGCAACTCAACTCATTCAACCTAACACCAAACAGTTCTACTCAACCAAGTCATCCAACCTAACCAAACCTTCCCACTCAAACAAGCTATTAAACCTAACCTAACAGTCCCACTCATCCAAGTCATTCAACCTAACCAAACCGTCCCACCCAAGTAAGCTATTCTACCCTTATTCTACCTAACAAAACCGTCCCACTCAACCGGGCTATCCAACTTTACGAAGCCATTACACTCAACCAAGCCATCACACTCAACCAAGCCATCCAACCCTACCAAACCATCATACCCAACCAAGCTTTTCAACCTAACCAAACCGTCCCACCCAACTAAGCCATCTAACCTAATAAAACAGTCCCACTTAATCAAGCTATCCTAAACAAGCTTTAATACTCAACCAAACCGCTATACCCTATCTAAACGTCCTACCAGACAAAGCTTACCCACCAAACCCAGACGTTCCAGCCTACCTAGACACCCTACCCGCCCAACCCAGTCGTTCCGCCCTACCTAGACACCCTACCCACCCAGTCGTTCCTACCTATCTAGACACCCTACCTACCTAGACACCCTAACTACCTAGACACCCTACCTACCTAGACACCCTAACTACCATGACACCCTTCCTACCTAGACACCCTACCTACCTAGACACCCTACCTACCTAGACAATCTATAACCTATCTAGACATCCTGACTACCTAGACACCCTACCTCCCTGGACGCCCTACCTACCAAGACGCCATACCTACCTAGACGCCCTACCCACCTAGACACCCTAACAACCTAGACACTCTACCTACCTAGACACCCTACCTGGACACTCTACCTACCTAGACACCCTACCTACCTAGACACCCTACCTACCTAGACACCCTACCAACCTAGACACTCTATCTACCTACACACCCTACCTGGACACCCTACCTGAACACCCTACCTAAAGATTACTTCTGAATTCTGTGGACACCATTAAAATCCTTTAAAATCCTTTAAAATGGCGTGAAAGTGTTTGAATATCCTAGTCTGAGGTTACAACCCTCTGGAGAGCTAAACTGTTTCTTTGCAACAATGTTTTATATCGTTTGTGTATTCATACAGGATACAATATTCATACAGGATACAGGATACAGGATACAATATTCATACAGGATACAGGATACAGGATGATACAATATTCATACAGGATACAATATTCATACAGGATACAATATTCATACAAGATACAGGATACAGGATACAATTGTCATACAGGATACAGGATACAGGATGCAATATTCATACAGACTACAGTATACAGGATACAATATTCATACAGGATACAATATTCATACAGGATACAGGATACAGGATACAATATTCATACAGGATACAGGATACAGGATGAATATTCATAAAGGATACAATATTCATGCAGGAGACAATATTCATACAGGATACAATATTGATACAGGATACGATATTCATACAGGATACAATATTCATACAGGATACAATATTCATACAGGATACAATATTCATGCAGGATACAATATTCATGCAGGATACAATATTTATGCAGGATACAATATTCATACAGGATACAGGATACAATATTCATACAGGATACAGGATACAATATTCATACAGGATACAATATTAATACAGGATACAGGATACAGGATACAATATTCATACAGGATACAGTATACAGGATACAAAATTCATACAGGATACAGGATACAAAACTCATAAAGGACGCAATATTCATGCAGGATACAATATTCATACAGGATACAATATTCATACAAGATACAATATTCATACAGGATACAATATTCATACAGGATACAATATTCATACAAACTCATAAAGGACGCAATATTCATGCAGGATACAATATTCATACAGGATACAATATTCATACAAGATACAATATTCATACAAGATACAATATTCATACAGGATACAATATTCATACAGGGTACAATAATCATACAGGATACAATATTCATACAGGATACAATATTCATACAGGATACAATATTCATTCACGATACAATATTCATACAGGATACAATATTCATAGAGTTTACTATATTTATGCAGGATACAATATTCACACAGGATACGATATTGATACAGGATACAATATTGATACAGGATACAATATTGATACAGGATACAATATTTATACAGGATACAATATTCATTCAGGATACAATATTCATAGAGTTTACTATCTTTATGCAGAATTAGGATTTCCATTATACATGTCGTCTTCCTTTCCACAGTTTTCTGTAGATGAAATTATTTTGAGACATGGCAGTCAGGAATTATATTATTTCATAATAATACACAGTAGTATTACTTTAAATACAGGATACAATATTCATACAGGATACAATATTCATACAGGATACATTCATACTACAGGATACAATATTCATACAGGATACAATATTCATACAGGATACAATATTCATACAGGATACAATATTCATACAGGATACGATATTCACACAGGATACGATATTGATACAGGATATAATATTCATACAGGATGCAATATTCATACAGGATACAATATTCACACAGGATACAATATTCATATAGGATACAATATTCATACAGGATACGATATTTATACAGGATACAATATTCATACAGGATACAATATTCATACAGGATACAATATTCATACAGGATACGATATTGATACAGTATACAATATTCATACAGAATACAATATTCATAGAGTTTACTATATTTATGCAGGATACAGGATACAATATTCATACTGGATACGATATTCAAACAGGATAAGATATTGATACAGTATACAATATTCATACAGGATACAATATTCATACAGGATACAATATTCAAACAGGGATAAGATATTGATACAGGATACAATATTCAAACAGGATAAGATATTGATACAGTATACAATATTCATACAGGATACAATATTCATACACGATACAGTATTCATAGAGTTTATTATATTTATGCAGGATACAATATTCATACAGGATACAATATGGATACAGGATATTCATTGTCTAATTTCTTTAATAAACTATTTTTTTTTGTTAAATTATAATTTGCAGTATTTAAGATTTTGATGAAATAAATATGTAAAATTATCTTCACGGTTTACTTCATCTCCGGTTCTTCGTGCCAATATTGGAGTAATATAAAGATACACATTTCAGTTTATTCCGTAGTTGAATACTAGACCTTGTGTAGTTGTATTCAGGTATTTAATAAAGGGACAACTCCCTAAATTATTGCAAAATTGTCATTTAACAATTTTCTTATTGTTTCTAATTCAAAAAAATATTCTTTAATTTTAACTATAGATATATCTTAAAAAATTTAAGATTGTTAAATTTTTCTTTTAAAATACTTTTGGGGATGGTATATATATCAGACATAAAAATATTTTTAAACAATTTTGAATGAAATTAATTTATTAGGCTTTAAAAATGGTGAATTATTTCCATGTTTAATAACAAAATTTTACAGGATCTTTTTAATTTTAAGATCACAAGATATCACGGGTTCTAAAATATTGAAAATTGTTAATATATATCCAATTCTTTATCAGGGATAACCACAGCTGTATATTGTACTGGGTGGATACAAGTCCCTAAACTAATCAGCTAACTAGCCTACCCGGAGTTCTTAGCTAAACCTTACAATGTTCTTTTCTAAAGTAAGTGACGCCAACATTTTTATATCATTTTGAATTGCACATTAGGTTTTATTCACGATTTATTGCATAATATTCTGGATAAACTCTTATTTCAATCATTTCATTTTCTTCTGGCACCATCATTATTGATAATTACTTAACACCGAAATATTGGGAATTTTATAATTAATTTTTAATTTCCCAACCATAGCATTTTTTTCACGAAAACTTTTACGGTTTGAGGTTTAAGATTTAGATTTAGAAATGGTTCAGTTTAAACCCAGGGGGGGGGGGGAGGTTATCTTCTTTCTGTCACACATAGATCCAGTCTGCAATGAAATGTTGCAGCAAGTACTATAAAGTACTTGTTTTTAAGCATGTAATTGGCAAAAAGAATTGAGTCTTTGCAACAAACTCTGATTTTCTAATCCCTATATCTTTAAATTCCAATGTCGTAGACCTTTGATATTTCAAACTATGAATTCTGTTAGATCAAATTATATAAGTTTGAAATATCAAAGATTTACGACATTGGGTTTCAAAGATATAGGAATTAGAAAATCAGAGTTTGTTGTAAAGAATCAACTACTTTGTATCAATTTTTGCGTGGGAGCCTTCAACCTTGGGATCACTCTGTGTTCCAGTCCATTAAAAACCTCTCAAATCTGTATAATGATGTTTATAAAGTAAACAAACCTTTTAACAAAATATAATATTCATCAAAATATAATAGAACATGATAAAACTTAGTCTCTCCTTGTTGCAGGATGCACAACTAACTTTTTTAATCAATTCTATCTTGACCTTGAAAACTTTATTTTTTACTTTATACAAGGCTTTCAAGATATTAGCTCTTGGGGGGAGAAATGCTCATATTAAAAAAAAGTTGAGAACATTTTTTGGAACATCGATTTGCAGACAAAATATTTTTCTTTAATTTTCTTTTTACTATTTAGAGATTTTATTAAAATAAATATTATCCTTTTTATTTTCTTGTTATGTATATATGAATTAAAGAATCAGATAATGGAACAGATTACTTGCCTCAAATCCTAATTTTTATCACTTTTTATTTTCAATCTGGGACCGAATTTTAATAATTTAAAACATGGTTGGTTCAACTTAAAATTGTAGTCAGTGTATTGAGATTTGGGCCGGCGGGCAGTTTGAACCGACGTTTGGCAGTTCAAGGACGCGGTTCAAATTCATTAAATTCGGATTCTGGTGGTTGTAAACCTTTGATATTTTAAACTTTCACATTCCAACAGAATTCATAATTTGAAAAATCAACGAGCAGCAACATAAGATTACAAAAATAGAAGGGTTTGAGGTGAGTAACCAGTATCTTAGTCTGAAATTATAATCAATAAGGAATTGAGTTTTTGCCACAAACTCAAATTTTCTTATCCTTTTATCTGTGCAACCTGAAGGTGTAAACTTTTGATATTCAAAATAAGATGGTTAGATTTATAATAACTCTTAGTTTAAATTATAAAAAGGCTATGACATTGGGTTGCAAAGTTGTAGGAATATAAAAATTTGAGTTTGCGGCAAAAACCTAGTTCGTTTGTTTAGGTTTTCCTTCTTACTTCTTCAGTTATTTTAGCAGCAAATTCATTTCCACAGGTCTGTCTACTTATTTCTTTTAAGAAACAAAATTTCAGTAATTTCTAGAAATATTTTTTCTCATTTATTTATTTCATTAGATTAAGCTTCAAAGTAGATTTATAAATATAGTGTAGAGATCACAAACTAAGAATCCACAAGAGATGGAAGGAAAAAATCCGGGAAGGATGAAAAGAGAATCCAGGAGCCAGTCTGATTAGAACCAGGAAGAAGAGAAGATCATTCAAGCTTAATTCTCAACATATTTATAGAATTTGTAATATATTTATATCCTAAGAATATCAGTAAATATATAATCTTCACA